TAAGAATTACTTCCATCTCTCAGCCTTCCATCTTGCTTCCACTGAGGTGACAACACTCAGGTTACGCTGATCGCTCCTGCAGAGGTTGAATTCACTGATCTTCCAACGCCACACATGGTAGTTCTGGATTGGGTATGAGGATAACATCTGGCACATTGAACGACATCCGGCAATGACAGTCTATCTGAATGTGATCGAAAAGGAAAAAAACAACTAACCGGCGTAGACTGATGAGCATATATGCTGCACAGATTTTCGGGCACTTAAAACGGCAAATGTGACGCAAGTTCTCAGCTTCGGCGTCCATTAAACAAGCACTCAGAAACGCTGCTGCGTAAGGCGGCTCTGATGTACAGTAGCTGTGCTAACTCATGAAATGTCAACCAAAATTTCGAAATGCGTTCTCGTTCCCAAAAGATAAATTAAGTAGTGTTGTAAAGCTAATCATGATGCAGCATAAATCTATAATGATCCAGTTACCTCAGGGCGTCGGCTTTCGAAAGAACTTATTTTCGTCTGCATGCAATATCTATACTCTGCGAAAAATGGCTACTTAATTTGCATGAAATTTTCTCATTGATTTTCGATGCCCTTGTAAATGCAATTATATTTCATGGAAAACATGCATATTAATATTCATTCTTCTACTTATTCGGTAGAAAATCACGTCTTCTTCCAATTTTATACTCAAAAGAGGAGTAGAATTCGGTTTTAAAAAACTTTCTAATTGTGGGATATTTTAATACCGTTAAATGGTCGTTCATGAAGCGTCATGTATCTGCATTAACGAATGTGGCTTGTAAAGTTAACAATATTGCATGCATTTCTCTACGGCGTTAAAAGGAGACCATATAAGGTTCATAAAATTAAGCAGTGGATTTGAGCAATATTGTTGACTTTACAAGCGACATTCGTAAATGCAGATACATGACGTTTCATGAACGGCCATTTAACGGTATTAAAAAATCTCACAATTAGAAACTTTTTTAAAACCGAATTATACTCTTTTTGAGTATGAAATTGGAGGGAGACGTGATTTTCTACCGAATAAGTAAAAGAATGAATATTTTTACGCATGTTATCCATGAAATATAATTGAATTTTAAAGGGCATTGAAAATCAATGAGAAAATTGCATACTAAATAAGTAGTCATTTTTTGCAGAGTATGGATATTGCATGCAGCTGAAAATAAGTTCTTTCGAAAGCCGACACCCTGAGGTAACTGGATCATTATAGATTTATGCTGCATCATGATTAGCTTTACAACACTACTTAATTTATCTTTTCGAAACGAGAACGCATTTCGAAATTTTGGTTGACATTTCATGAGTTAGCTCATCTACTGTAAATCGGTGCATCCCTCGGCGCAGTGAACGATACGCATTTGGAATATCAGGATGCTCTAAAGTCGTGGTTGTTCGGAAAGTTGCAGCCCGAAGGCATAATTCTCCCCTTCTAATTGGAAATTAAATCTAGTCTAGATACCTAATTTTACACCATCTACATGCTAGTGGTCATGTGGCTGTCTTGGAACCATGGCATCTTCCATCTCTCATCCTTCCATCTTTCCTCCACTGAGGTGACAACACTCAGGTTACGCTGATCGTTCCTGCAAAGGTTGAATTCACTGATCTTCCAACGCCACACATGGTAGTTCTGGATTGGGTATGAGGATACCATCTTGCACATTGAACGACATCCGGCAATGACAGTCTATCTGAATGTGATCGAAAAGGAAAAAAAACAACTAACCGGCGTAGACTGATGAGCATATATGCTGCACAGATTTTCGAGCACTTAAAGCGACAAATGTGACGCAAGTTCTCAGCTTCGGCGTCCATTACACAGTCACTCAGAAACGCTGCTGCGTAAGGCGGTTCTGATGTAGTCACCGATTTGTAATAATTTCGGTAGGTGTGCAGAACTAAGAGCTACACGCTAAACGCGTGAAAGCAATGACGAGACGAGACGCATCGATTCCAAATTTGGGGGAGCGCTGCCATGCTCCGTCAGCGGCCATCATACGCCACTCCATGTTCGTGTTAAGTAGACCATAGGCAACCAGAAACTGCAGGATCTCCGACGTCGCCATCGACCGGCGACCTGGACCCTCTGCTTTCCCTCCCAGAAACAACCAGAGTCGTGTACCAGGTATCTAGTGGGCACAAGCTGGAATCCAAGGCGCCCCCGACGGAAGTTTACAAGCACAGTAGCCCCGGACTAATGGGCAAACTAAAAACGCACTTCTACGAGATTTGCCACCGAGGACAAGTCCCTCAAGTCTTCAAGGACCTGACAATCGTCCACCTCTACAAGCGGAAAAGGAACCAGGAACCTTGTGACCGTTGAGCAGCGGTGTCTTGTTGCTCGGCGTTGCCGGGAAGATCGCCGGTCACATCCCTCTCAAGCGTCTCAAAGGTCATCTAGAACAGGAACTTCTTCCGCATCACAAGTGTGGCTTCTGACACCACCGTGAAACCACTGACATGATCATCGACGCCCGCCAGCTTCAAGAGGAATGTCACAAAATGCGAATCCATAGGCAGTGTCTGAAGTGGTTTAATGAATCCAGCAGTAGATGTGCTATCTGTTGAAATTTGAAGCAATATTTCCTCAGAACGAATTTAAAGCAGGCATAGACATAGACAGCAGAATTTATTGGGACCAATGGAATTCGTGACGGCTTATCAACTACCGCCTGTATTTGCATAACACAGATAACATGTGAGAAAGATACAGAAGTTTGAACTTCCACAGAGAAAATCAGTAAAAAAGAGCAAGGTCATTGTATACTGCACGTAGACTAATCAATAATATGGTAACTTGAAAGCGCAATAAAGGAAAAAACGGGAAAGTTAACACGCCGTGAGATTTCGCAAATCAAAAGGGCTCAGATCCACCAGGGCAAGCTGAGGTTGACCACGTGTTCTAACTGTTTACATCGGTCGGGTTTCTCCCGTCGCATGTAGGCTGCCTCCAGGTAGCGCAGTAACCGAGTTGTTCGTGCCCGAACTAATACTCAAAAGATGTTTTGAGGTCAACCGAATGACCGCTATCAAGGAGGGGTTTTGTGATAGAACGTCGAATTTTATTCTTCTGCTTTAGAAGTCATTTAGGCAGGTGCTCAACTGACCCGGCGAAATCTATTGGTTCCAATAAATTCTACTGTTTATGCCTGCCTTAACAAATCTCATGAAATATTAACCGGAATCGTGAAATGCGTTTTCCTCTCGAAAAGGTTACTTAAGTAGGGTTGTAATATTAATCACCGTGCAACACAATCCCAAAATATTTCAGTCACTTCAGGATAACGTTTTTCGAAAAAGTTTCTTTCCGATCCCCTGCGAAACTGCAATCTGTAAAAAAGAATACTAAGGGAGTATGCATTCGTCTCATTTATTTGATATAACTTTTTAAATAAGTGTATATTTTATAGAAATCATGCACAGCATATTCGTTCTTCTACTCACTTGGTAGCAAATTACATTTTCTGCAAATTTTATGATTAAAGGTATTTGAATATTCGGTTTTAAATTTTTCCGGTTCCCCGATACTTTATAAACCCAATCTATCGTTAATCTTGCATTTAGCGTTTCCAAACTACAATTTGTATATTTCCCAAATATGGGAGATAAGACATTTCAATGCCTTCATAAAGAGTTGCAATGGATTTGAACGGTAGTGTGAACTTTATTAGCAACATCAGTAAATCTAGAGGCACGAGGTTATATGAACTAGCAGTGTACCGCCATAAAAATTGCGTAATCAGAAACCATTTAAAACCGAATTACGCTCTTCTTTTAGAGACAAAATGTTTGGAGGACGTAATTTGCTACCCAATCAGCAAAAGACCGAATATTTTTGCACCTGTTTTAAACAAAATTTATTTGGGCATAGAAAATCATCAAGAAAAATGTTTGCTACTTAAGTACTTGCCTTGACAGAGCAGTTTTTGCAGGCGGCCGAAAAGAAACTTATTCAAAGCCGTCAACCCGATGTGACTGAAATGTCTTGCGATTATGCTACATAGCAATTAATATTACAACCTCCTTAAGTAATCTCTCCGAGTCACTAACGCATTTAACAACTTTGGTTAACATTTGTTGTGATAGCTCATCTACTGTAGGTAGGTCAGCTACTTCTGAGAGACATCGGCATCACACCGGACGCGGATGACCGAACACGCGGAGGCAGAGAGGAGGAATAACGCCAATGGCCAATTCGTGGCTCAGGTGACGAGACCCGACCTTGGGTGATACGGCAATTGAATCTGACTATGACCTGCCGACACCGTTCTGCCCTAATTTTGCGATACATGATATCTTTGTTGAATGAAGCAAAACGGTCGTCGTAAAATCCTCTTACGGTTACCTAATGTAATGCATTACCGTCAGCAGGCATTTTATTTGATGTAATTTGGGGCCTGCAAACGATCTGCCGCTCCATAACCGCGCATTATGACGCGGTTAAGATTTGCGACGTTTAGCCCACACGTGCTCTGCCTCAAAAGAGCCGTTTCGTCTCTCATCAAAAGACCGCAGCTATCAACTTCAAGGTTTCCTTCAAGGACTTTCTGTGTCAGTTAACAGCTGATCACATCATCGGAGGCCTGCGGTAGACAATAAATAGACTTGAACGCCTATTGGAGGCAATACTATATAAAAGAGATGAATGAAAAGGTGTTCTCCATGTTTCTTCCTCTCGCGTGCTTTCAAAGCTGCCATATGTGAGTTCAGAGTACTATTACCTGCGAGATTCAATTGAAAACAATGAGGGCTTTTTATAGTAAAACCCTCGGAACCCACCGTTTGTTATTACTAACATGAATTTCCACCTCTTCCATAAATAGGGCCATGTAGCCGTTTATGTGTACTTATTGTTGTCTGAATTTTTTTGCGAAAATGAACTAACTAGGTTGAGTGTACAGCGCCTATCCACATAAGTCATTGGTGTATAACCCAACTGAACGTGTCTGTTTTATTTTACCAAACAGTCGACCATGCAAAAAATCCTGCTTGCGTTAGAGCTCCTCGTCGTGGGATGTCTGGCATCAAGCGGTGAGTCCTGGCCCCTTAAGAGAACAATTATTTCTTCATGTTCACCAGTTCTACCTTCTGAATAAAAAATCTCTTTTCCAGCTATGCACAGAGGACATAGCACATGTACAGTTAGTGACCTAATTCATGAAATGTGTCGAAAGTTACGAATGATTGTCAAGCCCTCGCAAGCTGACACCATTTTATGAGTCCGATTTCTATGTTAATTAAATAGAAGTTTAAATGAATTAAAAGCATAAAAAAACATTAAAGGCAGTGTCACGTTGTTTAGAAATTCCGATTCATTTTGAAAGGCGCAATATCCCGAAAACGTCAAAAATGGCTCTAACTTGTAAACTTCGTTTTTAAATATATAGAATGTATTCTCATACCCAAAACATGGTAAATATGAAAGTATCCATAAAATAACGTCTAGTAATAGTGTTCTAATGAAGTTTACACCTAAATATCGTTTAATAAGTAGTGTGTCATATATGACGGTTTGTCAACTGCCTACATTCCGAGTGTAGACTCCAAAACAGTTTTCCAGCATTTGGCGTTATCCTTGAGTCTTTTCAGTTAAATGAGATGAGATTTAACAAGGGAAACTGGAATTTGCTTGATTTCACCGATGGGGACGTCGAAGGAACAAACATTTTCATAAGGTGACATGCCATGAGGCCAGTCGGTGCCTTATAAATTTAAATATATCTGACAGGCGTGATCGTAAGCATACCATTTTCTGTTTATAGAGAGAACTTTTCTTCCGTTAAATTAATTTACACTTTCTGTTCGGTTTGGATTACGTTGAATTTCAGATCGGCCTCGAAATTTTGCTGAATACTTCATGATTTTCAGTCTTTTCACCCGATCGTCCACAAAGACAGATTCTGAATTACCTGTCTGTTAAAAGCTTTAAAATAAGATTATCATTGAAGGCATTTACCGAATTAGTGGGCAATTGGGCGCTCCTTTTCACGAAGCTAGTCGTCTGGGTCCCATTTAAGGACTCATTCAAACATGAAATTTCATTTTCGAGAAAAATGACTGTCCATAACGAAAGTCAGCAACAAATATGCCTTCGATCAATAAGAAAACTTTCCTTAATAATTTACCTCTTTAGAAAGTGCTTTATTACTGCACTCCGTTGACGGATCTCTGTATACTTTGCATTTTTGCATGGTGAGACCAAGTAAAAATTTGACACTTTTGGCCGTTTCTTCCACATGTAGGCAGGGTTTTATCTTACGTAGTGCAGTGAAGGCAGCTGTTTGCCAGACGTTTCTGATTATGAATTATTAGTTAAGAAACTAAAATCCCCTTGGACAATTCATTTCGCCTGAGAGCACCTTTGAGCGATAAAACTTTACTAAACCACTCCGAGCCTCACGTACTTGTCACCATACAGCATACGATGAGGTCAAACGCTCCTGAATGAAAGCAGAAAGTAGGCTTTAGTTGATTCTCAAGGGGTAGCATTTTTAGAATCACTTCAAGCGTACCCGCCGGTCGACGATTGGGCGACACCCCAACATAAGCAAATAATATTGTCAACAGTAATTTGTAAAAATTATGAGCTTCAAGTCAATGATGTTTCCCGAAATTTTTATTTCTAACAAGAAAACCTGTAGAAAATTATAACGCTCCGAAAGTTATTGCTCGATTAAGCTAAAAAATCGAGTGCTTCAAGCCTATTTTTAAACAACACCGCTGCTCCTTAGGTTTCAATATGAAATACGCGTTTTCAATATAGCACACTTCGCAATACGTTTAATATAATTAACAAACTACCTCAGACGCATCGAAAAGGTCGGAATAGGTGCTATTTACAAAAAAAGCTCTGTTTGCAACACTACTAAACTCCACAAAGGAGACTGCAGACATCTCAGGAGTGCCGATGCCTTTCGGCGCTTTTTAAACCAGTTTTCTTAGGTTAAGGTGATTCCATACTTATGGCACAAGTAGTAGCCAAAAGCCCATACACGCGGGTTTCGCCAATATTCTGCCGCCGCATGACACAGCTGTGAGGGGTTCGGCTCGTCAGTGGGTCCCCCAGCATTCCCTGTCTGCTTTCTAATAAGTACTCAAATTTAGAAACTGACGTTTTTTAATTTCCTTAGAAATTAATTGCGAATTCGGTGTGGAGCAGTATATTTAAGGTTTATAGGTTTATAGGTTTTTTTTTACGGAGTGTGGCTTTTGGAAGCAGCCGTAAAGAAGTTTTTCCGAAAGCCGGCGTCCTCTGGTAGCTGAATTATTATGAAATTATGCTGCATGCTGATTGGTTTTAAAATCCTACTTAATTAATCTTTTCGAAATAGAAACGCATTTCGGAATTTCTGTTGAAATTTCATGATTTAGCCCACATACTGTACAAATCCTCGGCGGAAACAAAAGAACAAGCCTAAAATTCTGTCACGCCGAGGACGATTGCTTTGCGAAAAACAGCTGCCAAATTACAGGACGGTAATTTTATAACAAGTTTTAGTACAAGGTTGGCCTCTAGCGGGCTAAGCAAGCGCTAACTTTAGCGTTTTACGAATATTACAGGCTTGCTTCGTCCTAGCTGATGGATCCGAGCTCAGCCTAAATAGCTTCACTCCAAATGTCGTACTCCATATTAGAAATTAATATTTGAAGCGAACAAAAAGCCTCAGTTTCAGGATTTGAGTATCTACTAGAAAGACTAAGGGGAAGGCCGAATATTCGCTGATAAGCCGAACCCCTCACGCATTGGCAGAATATCGACGGAACACATATTTGGGGTTTTAGTTAATTATTTACTGTTCCTTTTTAATTTCCTCAGAAACTAACTGCGAACTTGGAGTACGTCGGAATATTTAAGGTATATAGGCTCAGACCAAAGTTTTTAGGTATGAATATTTGGACCGAAGTACATTAGCCGCAGCGGATAACCGCGTTATATTCTTTAGCTGCTGACAGGCAGCTTTACTTCAGGGTAAGGTGATACCAAACTAACAGCACAGGTACTAGCCAAAAGCTCATACACGCGTGTTTCGCCGATATTCTGCCCGCTGTATGACACAGCTGCGAGGAATTTGGCTCGTCAGTGGGTCCCCCAGCATTCCCTGTTTGCTTTCTGGTAGATAGTCCAATTTAGAAAAAAAGTTGCTGTTTAATTTCCTCAGAAATTCACTGCGAGCTTGGAGTCCATCGCTGTGACTGATGGACTTCAGCCCAAATGCTCATAAATAAAAACTTTAGTCTAAGCCTATAGACCTTAAATATACAGATCTATTCCAAGTTCACAGTTAATTTCTAAGGAAATTAAAAAGCAAAAAATCCGTTTTTCCCCCCCTTTCCTCCAGAAAATTCAATGGATTTGTACACACATTTAACGTCACACTGATTATACTGTGAAGGGCATTGAAAAATTGAGGCCGAAGACACTCTATCTTCCTCAGTGAAAACAGTTCTAAGCATTCGTCAGTCAATGCTTATTTTTGCAGGTAGCACCTTATCGGTGGTTTTCAAATATAGACGACAGCTCCCAGACGGCGGTGACATACTGTAGACGACTTAACCTTATCTTTGCTTTGAGGAACGACACGTCTCTCAACTGCTTTGTTATCCTATCTTCGTAGGCCACCACTGGTCTTACACAGACAGCAATACCAACCCAAGCAAATGGGCCCATCTTAACTCCATAATGTGTTCGGGATGGGCTCAATCGCCAATCGCCTTGAGTTCTAGGAAGGCCACTTTCTTGGGCATGAACAGCGAGGCCGAGGTCGACATTTCTGAACAGAGTTCAAAGAAATCTGGATATTTCAATGTTACAAACAACGGCCATTCCCGTAAGGCATCTAATTCTGCTCAGAATCTTTTATCTCCTTCTTTTTCTCTCTATTCCGGTATCAGTAAGTTTTGAGCATATTTTGAGATTTGATGCAGACTTTCTTTGGGCATTCTGGCGTGACCTCTTTTTAAAGGCAGAGTTCACTCCAAGTCATAGGTACAAGCAAGATAATTCCATACAGTTAAGCTGATGATTTGGGATTTCCTTGCGAACTACCACTTCAGCATGTGATGAGATGTGGCAAACTGAAGTATCTATCTAAACACCCGAGGTATTCACGGAAATCCAACGATGAAGGGGGGTTTTTTCGGCAATAATGCACTTATGGCAACTGTAGCATTGTAGAGAGCACTGTCTAGTGCAAATACGAAAAGGCCGCCGGTTAATCATTACTCATTCAGGTGCTAAACACTGGTGCTTATTTTCAACTGATGCTTATTGATACTTATTGATCTGACTCCTAATTTAGAACTAAGGAATAGCAGAATAATGGGATAAGAAAATCTACTAAAGTATCTAGTCCGAAAGTTTAGATCACTTTCCTGTTTCGAGAACGCATTCACTGACTTTCGGAAATTATTTCAATATTCTCCAAGGGCAAGCAATAACACAGATTATTGACAGCAAAGTAACTCTGCCGGACAAAAAAGACTAGGGGAAATAAAACTAGACTCCAGTAGATGTGCTAACTCATGAAATGGTAACTGAAATTCTGAAATACGTTTTCTACTCGAAAAGATTACTTAGGTTGGATTGTAAGATCAACATTAAGCAGCACAATTCAAAAATATTTCAGTTACTTCGGGATGGCGGCTATTGAACTAACTTCTCTCCGGCCGCCTGCAAAACTGAACTTTGTGAAAAATGACTACTTAAGTAGTGTGAATTCTCTCCATAGCTTTTTGATGCCCTTATCAATTTAAATATCATCCGTAGAAAACATGAGTAGAAATATTCATTATTTTACTCATTTGTTAGGAGATTGCTTCCTCCTCAAATTCTGTAACTGAAGAAAGGATATAATCCTGTTTTAAAATTTTTCTAATTATGAGATTATTTAGGACCGTGAGATGGCCGTTCATAAAACATTGTGTCTTTCACTTTCAAATGTTGCTTGTAAAATTTACAACATCGTTCAAATCCACTGCTAAATTTCATGAACACCTATATGGTCTCCTCTTAATAGCACATAGAAATGTGTGATTTTCCGTACTCGGGTAAGATAGGGCTTGTAGTTTGGGAACCCCGAATGCAGGTGTAACGGCAGGCCGGATTCAGAAGTGTTTGGGAATTGAAATATTCTATTAAAACTTAATTATACCCTCACTTCAAGCATAAAATTTGAAGAAGGCCTAAGTTTATACCAAACGAGTAAAATAATGAAAATCCGTGTACATTTTTTCTAGAAAATATAGTAGAATTTATGAGAGGACTGGAAATTAATGAGAAAAATCCACACTATATAAGTAGACATATCTAGCAGAGTGTAGTTTTTTTGCAGGCGGCTAGAATGAAGTTTGTTGAAAAGCCAGCATTCCGAAGTAGCTCAGATATGTTGGAATTGTGCTGGACGGTTATTGATAGTACAACCCTACTTAAGTAATCTTTTCGAATCGAAGATGCATTTCTGTCAGTGTCCATATTTTTTGTGGCCCTCGGTTCTTACTTTGTTTCTGTTGCACATCTGAACTGAGCCATCTATTTAAAGAGAAAAATAGTAGATGAATGGAGAAGTTCAGACTGGTGACGCTTGTTATGAGTCATTATATTTGGAGTAAATGACAGAAGCCCTGAAAACAGATGTAAGGGAAAATAGTTAAATTGCAAAGATTTTGTGTGCAGTTTTAGTGAGAATAATGCATAAATCTAATAGTGGAGCATAAATGCGAAAAGAATATGGCATTTGCGAAATAATTGCGAAAACATTGTTCATTGCATTCGGACTGTGAAAATTTACACAAGGGTCAATTTTACCACACAAAAGTATCTGTTGAAATCCTGTTAGTAGTATGTTTATAGTCAGTTATGTGAAGGGTTTAGGTCCTTTGCTTCTGCATCTGGACGGTAAGCTTTCTTCCGAAAGTAAATCTTTACTTTTAGTCGTATGAATGCACGCCACGGTCCAGTGACAAACAAGGCAGTCAAGGATCCTCTTGACTTCTAAATGCACTTAAAGTCCTTGCCTGTGCTTATACAAGTGACGCACACATTACTGCTTGCGAAATCCATCTTGTGTCATCATTGCTCAAAGCCAAATGCGTACATTTATTCCCATTTCATGCAGTGCAAGTCAACATCCCCGACGGACTGTGGACAATCACGCTAAATGATGAAGCAGAGGGCTACTACAAAGTTAGCCAGTTTCATTTTCACTGGGGAGGTGGAAATGACAGGGGTTCGGAACACACTATGGACGGTCAGACTTTCCCGCTAGAGGTTTGTCTTTGTCTGATGTTGCATACTGATTTTTAGACTTCTCCTATCGGATGGATTCACTTGGCCGTGCCGATCAGTCGATCTAAACATTTCCAATTTTCTTTAGGATAGAGGAATATAATACTAACAGCACAAGTAATAGCCAAAAGCCCATACATGCGTGTTTCGCTGATATTCTGCCACTGCATGACACAGCTGCGAAGGGTTCGGCTCGGCGTTGGGTCCCCCAGCATTCGCTGTCTGCTTTCTGGTAGATACTCCAATTTAGGAATCGTTGTATCTGAAAAAATGGAAGCTCTACTGTCTAGGCCGTTAGACGACTGCGATGCAGTTGGTGGTGATCAAACTGAGAAATCCGCTTCTGTATGCATTCATCGACATAAACTGGCAGAACAAGGCGCGATCGCCACTCCCACGTGGCCATGCATACTCTGGGTACCGAGCCTATCAGTGCGTCGGGCAAACTTAGTATTTTCAACGTCTGTCCTTTTAAGAACGACCAAGAGTTCCTCGAGGGCATGTACTTAGATTGATTATGCGTCATTTGGAGCATTGGGTTTGATGCCGCGAACAAAAATCCCAGGGACAGATGGAAAGAGCCAATCAGAACAGGACGACACACGCAGCGGCTGCTCATTGGGCAGTCATCAAACGAATTTAGCATGTGAAGAGCGTTTAAAATTTTTCGCACATTTGTTCTACGTCTGGCGACAACCTAGAGAACCAGCGTCAGAAATTTCCATAATCAAGCTTGCTACTTTTCTCAGAGACGATTTTCAACTTTAACATATCTCTATATGCTTACTAGAAATTGCCAAAAGTGACCTAACATAGCATCAGTCTTACTTGTCATTGTCAGTTCATGTGACTGATGGTACTATCATCAAGACCTCTTCGAACAAACGAGGGGTCGTCAATCACATTTTAACGAATTTATTTCATTTTGAGCGTTCCACAGCAAGACATGATGTACACCTTTTCAAGAGTACTTACTTAAAAGACCAGCCATGCGCTCTCTCCTTTCATAGATGCACATTGTCGCCTACTCCTCCATGTACGCCAATTTCTCGACGGCACAATCGGCCCCAAGAGGGTTGGCTGTGGTTGGTGTCTTCTTCCAACTGACCGCTGATCAGTCCAAATCCAGTCTGTCAAAAATGGGCAACCTCTTATCAATTATTGGCCAGCTCACAAATGCGAGTACGACAACCACAATACAGTCATTTGACCCTCATATTCTCCTGCCCACTAAAAAGAACCAGTTCTTCCGCTATTTCGGTTCTCTCACTACGCCGCCCTGCACGGAAAACGTCCAATGGACTGTGATGAGAAATCCCCTCCTCGTGACCACTACAGACGTAAGTTTCTCTGCCGTGTCCCTTCTGTCTGTGTTCATGGATTTTTTCAATTTCGCCGGAGCTTAAAGTTGAAAATGGACAGTGAGGGGAGACGGTAAATGCGGCGCACTGCAAGCATAAGGACAGACGGCGTCCTTAACTCCTCGTTTTTAACGGAAAATTCAGGGAGTTTCCAAGTGTATGGAAAGGTTGAACGCACTATTAATGGGCGGATCAGTAAGTCGTCAGAGAAGCTCAGCTTATTTGATTGAGGTTAGCTGACGGATTCTAGAAAAGGAACAAGATTGAATTGGGAAATATTGGAGAACAGGGGAAAATGAGGCAGGGATGCCCTATAATTAACCGGCTGAGATCTCGTCTGGTAATAAGGTAAGACTGGACGAAATCGACTTGATATGCTGCCACAAAGTTAACAGTGCGCATATCTCTGTTTGCTGTTATCCTTCAGATGAAAGATGGTTGTGAAAAATACAAGTACGCTAAAGAAATCTGCCGGCGTACGCGGACAAGGAAATTCGGCAACAAAAAAGGCGTCAGAGGACGCGCAGCCGACTGCATGGCTGAATGCTCCTCGGGGTGGAGGAGTTGGAGAGATGCATTTGTCAGACAGGATTGCGGGAAAGGTAAATATGAGAGTCAAAACACCGGGCCGTAAAGCAGGGGTACGGCGGATGATTTGTCTGAGTTCATTCTACTGGTTGCCTTGGACCAACAGGGTCCGGCAGGCGTTATTGCTAATTCGCACCCATGACAGATGTCAACATTCGGGTGTGGTGGCACGCCCATGTGCCGGCTCCCGCCGCGCCGATTGGGATCCGTTCCACCCCCTATTTTTGTTGTGGTAAAAAATCCCGGTCAGTGTTGTTGTGGACTAGGGGGAGTGTGGTGGTACACCTAGGTGAGGGTTTTCGCAGTACCAGCCACCTGCGTCCTCTCACCGCTCCGGTCTTCTTGACTGTGTCTTGACGCCTGGCCCAGATTGGCGGGGAGAATAGGGTGCGGTAGATGCTGTGCAAGTCCATTTCACTATAAATTAATGTTCAAGTCACTGTGCCTGCACTCACTTCGCTGTGGAGCTCGCGGTAGACATGGTGTCGAGCGAAGTTAGGTGGAGTTTGGTCGAAAGAGATTCGCAGCTAGTGGAGTCAAAATCAGTCACGGACATTGCACACCAGCATTACAGTAGGTAAGCTAACTCATGAAATGTCAACAGAAATTCCGAAATGCGTTTTCGCTTCGAAAAGGTTAATTAAGTCGGGTTTAAAAACTTGTCTACTTATGTGGCCTGCATTTTTCTCAATGATTTTCGATGGCCTAAAAAAGTCTATTAAATTTCATAGAAAACATACATACAAATATTCGTCCTTTTTTCATTTGATAGAAAATTACGTCTTCTTACAATTTTATACTTGAAGAAAGGGTTTAATTCGGCTTTAAGGTAACTTTTCCATTCTGCAAATAATCTTGAACTCGATCTGCCGTTACACATGCATTTGGCGTTTCGAAACTACAAGGCATATATTTTTCACGTACAGAAAGCCACAAATTTCCCTACAGTAGTCAGTGGAGATCATATGGGGTTCATATGATTTAGCAGTGGATTTGAGCCATGTTGTTAACTTTGCAAGCAACACTAGTGAAGGGCCATTTCACGGCATTAAAAAAATCTCACAGTTAGAAACTTTTTTAAAACCAAATTATACCCTTCCTTCGAGTATAAAATGGAAAGGAGAATGAATATCTTGTGCATATTTTCCATGAAATATAACTGACTTTTAAGGGCATCGAAAACCAATGAGAAAAATGCTTGCTACTTAAGTAGTCATTTTGTACAGAGTGTAGTTCCTGCATGCGACCGAAAAGAATTTCGTTTGAAAACCGGCATCCTGAGGTAGATGAATTGTGATAGAATTATTCCCCAAAATGGTTAGTTTTACAATCCTACTTAATTAATCTTTTTGAAACAACAACGCATTTCGGGATTTCGGTTGACATTTCATGAGTTAGCCCACCTACTGTAGTTGTGCAATGCATTCTGTACGCCCGATGGTCTACAACACGGAAAATCAAGGTAGGATAGTAAAATCCGAATTTTACTTAGTAGACCGATAACGGATGCTGAATTCAGTGGACGGTCTTTTGACTATGAGAAGCCTCCCCAATCCTCCAAATTGTCGGCTATTCTGACTACAACTGCTTCTGTGAACAAAAGGTTGCATTACTTTCATCACTATCGGTCCATACTATGAGGCATTTATGAAATACGAACTTATGCCTGGTGAACCAATGTTTTTTGCGTTTTCTGGACTTGCAGTTGGAGAAGCTGCGATCCCTCAAGTTCGGTGACAATGATGGCGGGAAGCCGATGCAGGATAACTTTCGCCCGCTTCAACCGCTAAACGCCCTTCAGGCGCCGCAGCCACGGGTGTTGTACAAATCCTGGTCTGCAGCCTCACAAATCTCCGTCGCAACCAGTCTCCTCTTACTCAGCCTGAGCTTGACGCTTTTCGGGCTTTTCTGTTAAAAAGTATTTTCCCAACAAAATTCTCCGAGATCCCTTTGCTGAGAACAGTAAATTATACATGTTTTGTAATACTAAATGCATGCATTTATTAAAATCCTAAAATGATGAGTCAGCTTGTTAATGTACTTTACTGCCCAGTGTGGTTTACCTAGGAGGCAGTTACCGAGATCTGACCCGATTGGAGGCAAAAAATTGCGTTCTTTGGATCCGCGGGCTGTGGATTTCACGGTTGGATGCAATGTGACATCCAGGTAGCATTTTGGGGGGTAGTGAAGGAAGGAAGAGTGCGAAAATCGCATCGACTGGCCTGGTTTATTGCAGTTCAGTTTATTGGATGGGAATATAGGTGCTGAACCTTTGATCTCCCTATTTGTTACAAGGAAGCGAACTATGTCAAAAATGTGAAAATGGAAACATCAAACAGCTACAGAGTTTCTTCAGATTGGCAAAGATTTCAAAGCCAGACAGATAAACGAATTGTTCCAAGGGTTAAAATCATTGACGCTACTAGGTGTGCTGTACAGTAATCTGTCTATTGATGGTTGGTGCTATCTCAGTATCTGAGAGAGACGAATTGAAAGAAGACGTAGTTTCCTACCGACTGAGTGGAAGAATGAATATTTTATGCATGTTTTCCATGAAATATAATTGACATTCAACAGACATGCGTCGATAGTAAACTACTGGGGAACTAGATAATTAAGGAGGGATTACGGTATGACCATTTGTCGAAGAAACAAGATATTTCGATCGTTGCAGGAAGAAAGATGTGTTAATTTCCCATGAGGCGGGTCCGGCAACGGCGTCTTGGGGGCAGATAGGTGCAGAACTGTGCAATTATTTACCGTACTAACCACACGGGTATTAACTAAAAGCCTAGACACGCGTGTTTCGCCAATCTTATGCCGCTGTCTGACGCATCTACAAGGGGTTCGGTCCATCAGTGGGTCCCCCAGCTTTCTACGTGTGTTTTCTGGCATAGAAACTCCAGTTTCACCTTGCCTCGTTTAGTTTCCGAGGAAAGTAGTGTGCAGACTTAGATTAAATCTTTCGGAACAGACCTTTTCAAGCACGGTCCGAAATTGGATATGGAAATTTGAGCTGTAATCCACTAAGTACTGCAAAATAACTGCGTAAAATTCACAAACGGACAACAGACAGCCAGTAGTACATACTTGTGCAGTGATTTACCGTACTAACAACACAGGTATTAGCTAAAAGGCCCGACACGCGTGTTTCGCCGATCCTGTGCCGTTGCCTGACGTAGCTGCGAGCGTTTCATCTCATCAGTGGGTCCCCCAGCTTTCCTCGTGTATATTCCGGCATACAAACTCCAGTTCCCTTTCGCCTTGTTTAATTTCCGAAAGATTTACTCCAAGTTGGTGCACTACTGTCCTCGGAAATTAAATAATGCAAGCAGTTAGGTATATAGTCAGGTGGACTTGCGCTGCTTCTGCCTCACTCGCCCTCTCACATTGGTGTTAACACAAAGTGAAGTCGACCAGGATGTGGGAGTGAGTGCAGCGGGCGGCAGATCTACACGTGTCGCACATGATGTTGTCCCTGAGGGGATTTCTAATGTTATGCAAGGAAAAGGGTCATTAATACCACAGTAAGGAGAGATATTTCAGTCTGACCAACAGTCGTAAAGTGAACCAGGTTGCTTCAAGCGACAACACTTAGCGTGATACGATAACTTGATTGTCGGAAGAAAAGAAACACCACATTCCTGCTAGGTCGAATAAACACTCTCCCCTCGAACACGCCAATGGCTTGTCCTAGTTAAACCAACCGTGAATCGAAATAGGCGGGTTGACTGACATGACACTGGCTTCGTTCTCAGGGCAGTGAAACTGCGCCGTTAGAGGTTGGAACCTACTGGATCTGTCTTACATCTGCCATATCTGGTCGAATTTGTTAAACGCCCTCATCTAACGCGTGTTACGCTTGAAGAGCCAGTATGTATGAGATTTAAGTTTTACAAAAAGGGTGCCGTTTGACCGCCACGTGTGGCAAGGGCCACGGATGCCCCCTAACGCGTGTTCGGAGGTCGCGTGCGCGTAAATATGTTCACGATAAGACAAAAGTTCACCAAAATCACACCACTTTTCAAATATATATATATATATATATATACCGGTAAAAGGGCGCTTACCGATCGTGTTACGGAGCACGCTCTTCCCCTTGTGCCTTGGGACTCTCTCTCTCGAGCCCAACTAGCAGCCTCACAGTGGTGCATACTGTTATGTATGCAAAACAGAAGGGTAATTGGAAATAGGACGTGTACTGAGTACGATAGACAGCACAAGTGAGGAGGCTTGGGGGGAACGGCCGGGTATCTGGCAAGGGGGACTGTCATAGGCTAATGGGTGGCCAATCAGCACAAAGAAGGTGCGAACAGGGGGCCATGACCTTGATCGTTCGCTTGTCACGCGTTTGTGGCATGATGTCCTGACGGCCCGAGCCAGATACGCTGCATCCCTCCACCCTAAAGTGGAGAGCATGAGGGGGGGGGGAACAGTAAAGGTAATAGTGGATAGTCAGACAATGTTCTAATAAGATTCGTCCTGAAAGCGTTGGACAGGTTTGCGGATTCGGGTCGACCTTCTCAGGGCGGTATTTTCTACCTCTGCGCCGCTTTGTGCGGTCACTGGCTCCTCCGCCCCTAAGCTAGTGCTGGACGAGGTAGAAGGAGGTGGAACATACGCCTCGGTCGGTGGCGTAGTGCTCTGTGCAGGCAGTAGGGGTTCAGTCCTCGGGATGTCAGGATCCCTATCAAGGGTTGCTGGCAGTTCGAACTTTCCGAATTCTCTACTTGCTGTGTCCGTTCGGCTTCGAACTTGGTCCAGATGCCGACGCACAATTCTCCCATCTTCTAACTCTAATTCCACTATTTGCCCCTCGCTTGTTCGAACTACCGCTGGACACCAGTTCGTTTCGTGTTCCAGTCGCGTGTAGACACTTTCGTTAGGCGCGACGACTCGTGGTTGGGTGTTCACATCATAACGTTCTTTCATCTTCGTCTGTTTTGCAATGACTCTATCCTGCGTTGATGGGTTAAGCAGGTCGAGTCGTGTGCGCAACTGCCGCTTGAACATCAATTCTGCAGGCGAAGCACCGGCTGAGTCGTTCGGTGTTATTCGATAGCTGAATAGAAAGCGTGACAACTTGGTGGCCAAGTCCGCTTCTGTCTGTCTGGCTAGTCCGTGCTTTATTGTCTGGACTGCACGCTCTGCGAGGCCATTTGAAGCAGCGTGGTACGGGGCAGTAGTTAAATGTCTAATTCCATTTTTCTCCATGAAATCTTTAAATTCTGCACTAATAAAGGCCGGACCATTGTCTGAAACGACCATTTCAGGTATCCCAAAAGTAGAAAAAACGGTCCGCAACTTGTTGATTGTAGTCAGTGAAGAACAAGAATTTCCTGTTGGAATCGCATCTATCCATTTCGTGTGGGCGTCAACTACCACCAAAAGCATATGGCCTTGGAATGGCCCAAAATAATCGACGTGTACCCTCTTCCACGGCGAGTCGGGCCAGGCCCAAGGCTTCAGAGGAACCTTCGGTAAGGTCTTCTGTGTTATTTGGCACACGTGACATGCTTTCACCACGTTTTCTATATCTGCGTCAATATTGGGCCACCAAACATAACATTGGCGACGCAGCCTAACGAACATGTCTTCATTGCTGCCTACACCGTTACCTTTCTGGCCAGAGAACACCCAGAAGCCTGAAGACTGAAAAACACTATCGACGAAAACAAGGGAGATTGAAATGGCCATTTCCGGCTTATTGGCCGTCGTCAGCCAGTCGTGTCCAACCCCGAATACCTGGAGTTCGATCCCGCGACCCAACGCCTCTGCACCGGAGTCGTTGTTCTGCCGGCTGCGATCAAAAGTGTACAACTTTGGAGGAGCGCTCATCGATCGTATTGCGGAGACTACTCGTCCCGTTGCGCTGCTGTGCGGTTGCTGGTTGAGCTTGAGAGGAGGCTCCAAGGCATGTCGGGGCGAACGAATTTCGAAACAGGATCGGCGAGCGTCCTTTTAAAATTACATATATATACATGAAAAAGAGAACGTTCTTCGAAAAATCGAGTTGCACTCGTGAACTTTCAAGTTGGAGACACCAACCAGTCGTCAGACGAAATGAGCAGAAGAGAAAGTGAGATCTGCTGACTAGATCGGTTGGCGCGACCGGAAAATAACAGACAGACAGCTGGTGCATGAGAGTGGTGGGGTGGGCGACAACGTGCGAATTCACGAGTAGAACTCGGTTTTCCAAAGAACCTTCTCTTTTTTCATTATATCACCTCTGAATTTTCACTACGTCAGTGATGCATATATGCACATATTGAAACCACCCATCATGCTTCGATGGTCAAGACTAGCGAAAGTGGAACGGTGTCCATGTACTCGTGTCATTTGCGACCTGGACTCTAACTCTACAAACTTTATTCGGACGAAGGGCTCTAATCTGACATAGGCGAAAATGTCAATTGTTCATTCCGTACAGAACAACTGGAGAAGGGATCGGAAAAAGCTGGCAACCACATGAATGCCCCTACGGCTGCGGGCACTTGTGTAGCATCTACCTACACTCTTTCCTCCTCCCACGTTTGAGCCCGTTGTCAAGACCAAGTCAAGAAGACCGGAGACGGGGGAGGCCGCAGGTGGATGGCTCGGACGGATCCTCACCTTGGCGCTCCACTCCGCACCACCTGGTCCACAAATAAATGACCAGGATTTTGACCACAAAACAATGGGGTGGTGGCAGAGGTCCAGTTGCACGACGATTGCCGACAACAGGGTCCGCCAGCGCACCCCGCAAGTGTTGGCATTTGTTATTGCGCACAGATAACGCCTGCCAGAGTCCGATGTGGCCCCCGTGTTGGTCCAGCGCATCTAACACGTGGACCGTTTAGAGGGCACCCAGCTAATCCCACCTGTACCTGCTCAATCACATGCACATATACACGTGAACGATTAGCATGGGGGTCA